ATTGCTTCTATAATGCTCTTTTCGTGTGCTAGACGCTAAACTATGCAAATGACACCCAAACTGTTCGATGCAGTTGCATGCTACTTAAATGCTATTAGTAACAACATATTTTTATGTGATTTTGCAAAACGTTTTAAGCAGGTAAAAGGCCGTCCGTTGAATTGTCAGCAGTTATCACCGATGTTTCACCGCCTTAAGTTTTATAACATTCGAAATCACTCTAACAGCTTACAATAAGCAGGCTGGGTTCAGCCGCTCTCAAAATCTTTTGGGAATTGGGCGCTGTGGAGGACATATTCCAGATAGTAACTGACAGCACTGGAACTCATCGTTTCAGGCGTTATGGAAGGTTGTTTGCACCACATTAAGTGAATGCTTGCTAAGCAAGATAGATTTAATTTGAGTAAAATAAATATTTAACTTCTATAATATCTGTCTCATTATTTTTGGAAGGCATCGACCTTTTGGTTGGGATTTATTGCTTTAACCGTTGTTGGAACATTTTACTATGGCACCCATCATAATGCAGAAACTGCGATTAAACTGGTCGCAAGGCTCCCAATGTTATGTACTCCGTGTTTATTCATGCACGAAAAATGGTATTTTAGCTAGTAGTAAGCTACAGCGGTGATTGTTGATACAAAGGGTTAGAACGCTATTAAACCCTATCTCACCAGAAATGTCGTAGATTTAGGGCTTGAATAGCCCTGAAGACTTATAAATCTAGGAGTGTTTATTTTTCTCAGGTGGGCAAAGGTAATTCTGATGCGTGTCATCATGAAATAATGTCTACTATCCGGCCAAAGGTTAGATCACTTCGTTAGCTCCATGAAACAAAAGATCAATTGAATACCCAGAGGCTGCCTTCCTAGTGCCACCCATTCGAGTGCTTTACACTAGATGAATTTACATGCTTCTATACCATTTGACAACTTTCTTCAGAGGCGATTTTTTCAATATTACTTTATATGAAGCTTTCTGTGAAGGCAGCTTTGGTCTTTGTAGTAGGTTAAAGGCTCGCAGTTGCAGCAGTATGGCATTCCAGTTGACCTTTAAGGCATTATACATTGCCTCTATCTTCCTTGTAAACGCTAAATCCGGATGTCAGAGCGGCACCTGAAAAGCTCATGCAAGTAAAATACAGAAAGGCAGAATTTTGTTGCAATTTAGGAACGCGTAATAAACTTACGAATAATGGGCACAGATGGAACCCCATGTCATTATTTGTACAGTTGGAAGCAATACAGATGGGTTTTATTACGGTTTATGAATCCATTTCCCCCTCTCTCTTGTAGGTCGACGAAGTGACCACAAATGTCGATTTCAACACGTCTGCAGCAGCACCCCAGTTCGAATGTCGTCGTCGTGAGGATGGGTATGCTGCAACCGAGGGCGTTTTCGCCAAGGGAGATCTCACTCCAACTCCACAAGCATCTTCCTACTTGGAAAATGCAGGCGATATCGCTGTTAGGGGTGAGTTCAATCATTTTCCCATCATGCTGTGGCGTGGTAGAAAATGTCAGGAGCTTACAATATGACGAGAATGCGTACACATACACATACAAATCACATTAACCTTTTTTACCATGAAGCAGTGGGCTTAGTCATAACTTTTTACTTAGTTTAACTACTTTACTAATGCATATGTGGTCGAATGTAGTCAGGAAAATCATAATAGCATAGCAGTGTTGTGTTCCTTTTTTATGACTAACTTCTATCAAAATATTGTTTGGTAGTTGATCATGAAGTATTGGCACTGCTTTCAGGGGATTGCAATTAAATTCACAGACTTTTTTGACTTTTGTCAAGGCGTAAGCCTACGTTTGACAATGGCACCAGTGCAAAGCAATGGATTTTCCAGAAGATCTGAGAAATTATGAGCATAGTCTTTCGACCATGTCGTCATCTAATGAATGGTGTTGACATTCTGATGGTAGTATTTGCAAGAACGAAATAAAGATTCGTAAGGAGCGTCTAGCTACAGGAACTACAGGAATTTGAGCTTGAAAGCTCATTCCTCCACTCCTAGGTTTCCTTGTTACAATATTGAGTGAACTCATTGTCGATACGAGGATGAGATTGAGTTGATGGACAGTTCCACTGGCGCTCTGATGCGTACATGCACGGCTATTCATTGTCTCGAAATCGGCTTCACATTTAGCAGGCCAGGCCTGGTTTAATCGCCTGTCCACTTACCCTGGGGGAGTTTTGTTGCATGTCAAACATGTATCTCTTGAACTCATATTCAAGTGATGCAACTTTTAGGGCTCCGCTGTAGGGCTTGTCAACAAGGCTTATATCCTTTCCTAATGCTGCAATCACATCAAGTGAAATGCATTTAACCCTGGCAACGATTTCGCTTTGACGGCATCAATTGCTTCAAAAATACTGCAACAGAATGACAATCAAATGGAGTTTGCCAGCATGCACGTATTAACAATTGAGCATGCAATTTATGCGACACTTTACTACACAAATGAAACAGGTTTGGATTATTGTAGCATAAATTGTTTGATTATCACTTTAGACGCCCATAACAACCATTTTTTGTCACCGAGTTTACAAATTCCAGTGTTTCTCAGACGGTGCTCGCATTAAGAGTACCTTGGCTTAAGGATTCACTGGTAGTAGGAGTTGCTAAACGCATTATTTCTCGATTCATTTGCAAATGTAACCCGTTTGTTTACATGAGAAGGGATGGGATTAGCACTTTACAGGAAAAACAGGGACTACTGATGTGATCAACAATCGAAACGTAATTATATTGCCGGTTGCGTGCATAGAAGATGATGGAGACGGGGATAGCAATCTAGAGGGAGCAAATAAGGGAGGTAAACAATGCTAATTACTGCATTACAAAAGGGAAACACAATTCTCATATTTTTTGTCCCTTTCAAGTCCCATTGATCCCGACAGTCACCAGAATACGCATTTCCCCGTCCTTAATTTGGATCTTTATAAAGCAAAAGTGCTTATATTTTAAGAAGTAGTACATCCAAACCAAACTGATTGGTGGATAGAGGTAGCTGGGGTGATATTTTTGCTATCTTGAAATTTGCATGAATGAATCAGCTAGACAGTCCTAACACTTGGTTATTACCCCTCAACCAGTCCTCGCAATAAGTGGTTCATCGGCTGGAAATTGAGGACTAAATAAATGCACTTCACTTTGTAGAGTGAGAATTGCTAATGTAAATTGTGTAGTCGTGTAAACTTCTGCCCATGAACTGTTTTCGATCCCCTTGTGTGTGATTTTTTGTTGACATGAAAATTTAAACTAAAATGAGTAAATTATAAGTTGATTTATTTATTTATTTACTTTAACTTACTTATAGGACAAATTAGCAGTTTTACTTTCGTCTTTTCTTCTCCATCATCTGCATTCTCTCAACACCTTTCCCCTACATTAATATGGGAAACTCATTATAATCAAATACGAGGAGGCATCTTGACAAGTAGAAAAAATAGAAGTGGTAGCGGTAGATGCCACGGTGTTGGAATGCTTGCGTGCAGGTGGTCCACCTTAGACTGCCAGTTGTTACCCAAAATATCAGGCAACAATGGCAGTGGATTTGTGTAGGCAACATTGTGTGGTGATGGAAGTGCAAACTCCGTACTTGTAGACATCCATTCTTACCCGCAGTGAGGCGATGCAAGTGGTTAGCGTCCACACAAGGGATGATGGTGTTGAGGTGCTATCAGTTGTACTTATGAATGGCATTATTTACTGGTTACATGCACAGTAATAGAAAGTAATATCAAAGTGTAAGCACAGTTTCAACGCCTTGGAGTTCACTATTCTCTTAATCCTCATTTTATTAACTAGAATTCTGCGGTTGTTATGTCATCAGCACCAGTGTGGAAAGTGTTTCGTTAATCCAACTCGCATTGTCTACCAGAGTCGCAGGGCAGAATTAACCGTTGTGGGTGAGAGATCCTTTTGTCTCACCGTGACACCCATTCAGTTGATTTACCATCTACAAATCAATCCACTAAAAGCACATTTTAAACATTAAATTCGTGTTTGTTTGCAAACAGAGGTGTTACAAACTTCTCCCCTTGGGATGTAGGCGCTAGACGGATCATAAATGCTTTGCTGCTTTAATAGAACTACTTTGTGTCAATCAAAATACTAACATTGTCCATTCAAAGCAGCGTTTATTCTGTCCTCTCTGAAGTCCACTATTAATCATTTCTCTTCAACTGGTCATTGCCTTTTGTCTTCACAAAATTGGGCAGTTTGCTTTTCGTAGACTTGATGCAAGAATGGTAAAGGTGAGTTCCCGAAGGCAGTGCAAGGCAGAGGAAGGTGAGTACCAACGCTTTGGATAGCAATAGATTTACCAGTTGCAAATTCCTCCTTTCTAGCGGTTAAAATTTGGCTACAATTTTTTTCTCTGGTTTGCTACTTACTGTGATCATGATTCTAAGCATGTCCTAAAACCCACTGCAGACACACCAGTCACAAAAGGTGTCGATTTTGTGTTAACTAATTTCCCTGTGAGTTGTTCAACGGCTTTGTATGACTGAAATAAAGCTACACTTTCTTCCCGGCCGAATTAGATCAGGCAATGGTGTTTTGCAGCTGCAATAAACTCCTCACCACTCTTTTATGACCCTCTGTTATTGTACTGCCTTCGCGTCTACCTGTCAGTCATGCAGCTATTTCGCGTGCAAAGCCATCTTGTCCCGATCTCTACTTACCCTTCATTTTCTTCTCATGATAAAAGTTTTTGTTGTGCAAAGTTGGCCTTTTTGCATCTATTTGTGCGGTGTTGGGATTAGATGTTTGGTGCATCTAATGGACCACGGAAAACGCACCCAACGACCACTTGGCGACTTCAACAATTCAGACGCCGCAAGTTATTTGTAAAAGTGGGCAACGAAATGTGCACTGCTCACTTTCCTCTTCTGCATAGCTTCTCGCTGTCGCAATCATCTTACTGAGTGACTCTCGAATTTTTCAGGCTAACCAATTAATTTTCTTCCTTTTTCTTCTTTTTCTTTTAAAAATAGTACCTCAATTGTAGATTAAGCGTACCTTAAAGTGTTATTT